AGTGTGTACGTAAATAACCATACTTATAAATGTGATGTATAAGTAAATAATCATACTTATAAATGTGTTTTGCACTAGAATTTTACTATTCGATGTTATAGCGAGCCCTTTTATTTGAGTTATCGACTGTAATGTTGCCTGCCACGATGCTTCTTTGGACGTCGTTAAATGTTAAGACAATTGTCACCCTTGACCCGTCATTAGTGATTGTAGCTAGCAACCATAAGTGGGGTTGTCAATCCCATATAGATCTATACACAATTCTCATGCTCACTTAATATTTAACGATTATAAGGTCTGGGACTTAGCGTAATGGTTAAAGAAACGTCTCACATAACTCGTCAAAAGTATGTTATTTTAGGTTGTAAATGAAATCGAATCTTTCCCATGTTCAAAGTGTTGTTCTACATGTATGTCAGTTACCCAGTGTATAATAGTATTACCCAATGGATAATGGTATTATCCAAGGGGTAATGGTTTTATCCAATGTGTAAACACAAAGTTTTAATCTTTTAAAACTAGACTTTTGGTAAAAATGTTAGTTGTGTTTATTCAATGTGTAATAAAATTATCCAACGGATAAAGGTATTATCCACCATACAATAGATCTAATATTAGAAGTTTGTGCATATGAAAGAATAAGACTTGTGTGCTTTCTTTGAAAACATGAGTATATGTATATATTTTCATAAATAGAACATGAACATGCATGTAATAGTATTACCCAAATGTTAAAAGTTTTATCCAACATTTTCTAGATCTAGGACTTTTGTGTAAAGTCATTATCCAAAATGTATTTTGTTTTCATGGCATGTAATCTTCCCGAATGTGTAAAATGAGTGAAAACTAGTAGAAAATGGGGGTATGAATTCACCTTTTGTGCTTTCCCTAGAAGATGGCAAGCTTTGAAAGACAACACCTTCTTGAACTTCAGGATCTTGCCTAGGGTTTTTGGTTTCAAGAGTGAAAATGAGACAACCAAAAAATTATGGTAGGGATAAGATAGAAATCTCGAATATATGAAGAGAACTTACCAAAAATCATTTCTAAACATTTTCCAAAAAGCTTGGAATCAACTAGATAGTGTTTGGAGAGTTTAGAGAGAATGAGAGTGAGTTTGGAGATGAATTGATGGAATGGGAGGGCCTTTTGGCCGAAATTTATAAGGGGAGGGGGGAGAGGTGAGATGGTTTGCATGGGAAAGTAGCAGCTCTTTCTTTTGAATATAAAATTTTAGGGTTAAGTCTTTTGGATTATTATATTCAAAGTAGGTTCTTTGGAATATAATATATAAAGTAAGATTTTTTTTTATTATAAAATATAAAGATGATATGATTATATTGGGATATGGTAAGATATGTCGGAAAAGGAGAGACATAATTTGTCTCATATAGTTTTTATAAAAAAAAAACCTAGCCCTTTTTATAAATGTTTGTCATTTTTATAAAAAGTGTGGTGGACTTTGAGAAATTTGTAAAGTTTAATAACTAATAAAAATGATGTTATTTAATATTATTAATAATAATATTATTAAAATCTTATAATTTGACTATTTCCTAATTCGTTATATAAAATATGAGTGTTAAATTGTGATAACTTTCGTTTTTTTGATGTATGACTTTTTTCCAGAACAATCACGAGAGTATCAACTAAATACTGTTTCATATGATGTTTAAAACGTGTTTATAGATTTGTGAACACATAAACCTTGTGTTATGAACATTACCCAATTCCCGGTAACCTTTGTGTGTTTTATCGAATTACTACATTACTGTAGTTTATTGATACGCAATAAAAGCGTTTACTCAATAATGGATTCAAAATAGCGTACATAGCATTATAATATTCAATAATACATTAGGGATGTTTTGAAAATAACATTTCGCATTTTTGACCTAATATACACACAATTGACTTTGTTGACCTTTGTTGACCAAAATTTGACGGATGTCACAATTTTCGCCAAAAACACCCAAAAACAGAAATGGGGACAACAAGGGAGATTTTGGAGCAATCTTTTAGTTAATTACTAAAAGTTAAAAAGAATTTGATGGGAATAGCATAAAACATCATCTTCACACCTGAGTGGAAGCTAATAAGTTTAATCACTAGAAATCCTTTTGTAATTACAGAAATTTAGGTTGAGGGTTGGAAACTCTAATTTGAAATCATGGTGCTTATGCTAAGAATTAAGGTGTAATAAGATATTTAAGGTTGTACGTGACTTAGTTATGTGCTTTTGATGTTGAATTGATGGTTAAAACATGGAATTGAATAAGGATCATGGTAAACCCTAACCATGGAAGTTATGCAATTACGATATGAAAGTGCATGTCCTAATTGATCAAGATATATTGATTGTTATTGCAAAGAATATAACTTAATTGATATGAGAATTTGGTTATGGAAGATAACTGTGCATAAGCAGTTTGTACCTTATTTTGAGGTACTTAAATTGTGAACTTGGAAGAAATGAAACTATCAAAATTATGTCTTAATGAGTTAAGACAAGCATTTTACTAACCTATAGAGTATGATTAATTATGGTGTGATAGGATAACATGGCTTAATAAGTTATAATCCGTGTGTTGTAGTAAGAAATATGTTAAAATTAGAGTTGTGGTAGCGTAAGAATGGTTATTGTTGTAACGGTGTTGGAGGACAAGGCTAAGGACAAAGGCTTGGTGTTGGAACTTCCAACAATCAATTGGCGATAAGGTTACATAAGATGGTTTGTATATTAATTATATTGTGACTGTGATGGAAAATCGAACCTAACAGCTTCGATGGTTGTAATATTACGATTGGGATCATTTGGTATTTTGAGATAGCCTTGGTGGCCATTATATCTCAAGTACAAGTATACCCAATGTTTGTCGTTTTTTTTAAATGGTGTATTTTATGTTGAATTATGGGGTGTTATATTTTTAGTCTAAATTGTAGAATATAACCTAGTTCAAAAGGAATTTTGTGTATGAATAAAACTTTTCTTATTAAAATATTATTATTTGAAGACATAAATAATTAATGTCTAAACCTAAAAGAATTTGTGTGGATGAGAGAAATGTAGAATTGTGTACGAAATAAGTGATTTAGAAAGCACTAGATATGATGAGTCCCACAAATGCATATATTAAATTACTTTGTGAAAGAAACAAAAAGGAATGATGGTTTGAGTAGCAAGCATGTAGCTTTTAAGTGAACCTAATTATACTAGAAACAAGTCAAACGAAAAGCCTCTTCTAAGTCAACACCACTTGTGCAATTTGAGTCAAATACTTTTAAAAAAAACAGTATAATTATAGACAAAATCACAGAAATGGCGGCAATGGAAGAATGATTTTAACAAAATGAAAGCCTTTTTTACTTTTCACATAAAATATCATATATGAATTTTGTTTTTAAATTCTTCCAAAGATAAACTTAAAAGACCTTTTTTTCCTAATTTTTTAAGCATGGTGAAATTGCTGACAATATTTCAGAATTGTTCATAGCATTGCGAAATTGTTCACATCATCCCAAAATTAATTATGAAATTTAATTCAATTTTTGTTTTTTTTTTATATTTTCATTGTTTGGGACCTTAAAAAAAAGCAACTTCACAGTGAAAAAATCTCATTGTGGGAAATGGAGCATTGAATATTCAGATTGACATTCAAAATGGATTTTAAATGCAAAAAATGAAAGAATATTTAAGTAAACGCTTTAAATAGGGTAAAAAAACCCTTAGAAGGTCATAACATTTCAGCGGAACTATAAAATTAGTGGTGATCTCGTGTAAAAAGTGAAAGAAACGCCAATTTTGTTAAAAATAAAACACTCCCATTTTGGTAATTTTGTGATTTTTAAATTACTACAAGTCTTTGGGGTGTTTGGGATATCTTTTGAGATGGCAAAATGACTTTTGAGAAAAGATAACAAAGAAAAGATGTTTGGTAAAAGCTCCTTTTGGATTTTTTATAGAATGAAAACTAACTTTTTGGAAAAATCAAGAAAATCTGATTTTTTAGAACTTTTCCCAAAAGTTTTTTTATCTTCTGAAAAGATACCCGAAACTCCCCCTTTATAAACCATATTTCACATTTTTCGATGTTCCATACAAATCATGTATTTTTTTCAATCCCATAAAACCACAACACTTTACACATGTTTCAAACCCTAATCCCTATTTGATGCATAAGATAAAACTATTAAATCATGTATTTTTTTTTCAATCCCATAAAATCACAACACTTTACACATGTTTCAAACCCTAATCCCTATTTGATGCATAAGATAAAACCAAGGTTGTCAAGATCGGGATCTTACCTAGAATTGTTTTTTGGTTTGCAAGATCGGGATCATAAGATCAAGATTGGTATCCTAAAATCCCACAAATAAAATATAATTTTAATTTATAATTTTTAATCATAAAAAATATTTCAAACATTCAATTTTTCGTTCAAGAATTATAAAAACTTCAAAATATTAACCACACGGTACAATACAAAATGATAAATGATAAACTGGTAAAGGGTAAAAAACATAAAGTGGTAAAAAAATTCATTTGCAAAAAAAAAAAAAAAAAAAAAAAAAAAAAAAGGAATGTAGGATCGAATCGGATCTTGATCCTACGATCTTACAATCCTATCTGTGATCCTACCCCAAATACGATCCTTTTACGATCCGGATTGTTTTTCATATCTAGGATCATACGATCCTACGATCAGGATCGCGATTTTGACAACCATGGATAAAACTATTGGATCGAGTGTAGTATACTTGCATAATAGGTCAAGAGTTTGAGTCTTAACAAATTAACAATAGTATGAGTTTCAATTCCAATATAAGATTCAACAGACGTCTAACAGTCTGATGTAAACTTAATTTACTTCTCACATGATCTTGTGCGAACCAACACAATGTTTGCTTTGCTAGAATAATAACTTTATGCATATTGCATAAACTAAATTCCGATAAAAACAACAATTATGGATAACTTTTATATCTATAGTTATGGATATTATTAAATAAAAAAAAATAGCTATCAACTTACCAACTTATCAGTATTTTCATCTTAGCAGTAAGAATGTGAGAATCCATAAATTAGGTCCGAGTACCAAACGTGAGCATGTTACATATCATGTGGTTCCATAATAGGCCTTAGAAGAACTCATAAAACCCTTATTGAATTATTATTTTTTTATAATGAACGATATTCATCTTGAAACTAAGTGATCAAGGGCAAAAAAGTAACTTCCTACAAAAATAAAAGATGCAATTCCACTGCGACCCATTCGCAACCAAATCCCACGAAAAAGTATATTCCTATCTCGCGGATGGATTCCTGTAAGTCTCTCAAACCTCTTTCCTGGTAAACTCCACTTGAGAAACTTCCTCTCCATTGTAATATACTGCATTCATATAGAGTGAAGTATTTTTAGAGGAAAATTACAGTTTTAGTCCCTGTGTTATAGCAACTTTTCGGATATGATCCAAGAAATATATTTTTTGCATTTTCGTCCATAATCCTTATTTTACTGTTTCTTTCTTAACTTTTTACTGTTTACCATCCATGAGTTAATATCCCATTCGTTAAATTTGTACAAAAATTACCATTTTGCCCCTAGAAAATACCTTTGGCAGCACAAGACACTGTGATCGACATTTGGCAGTGTCAAAAGAATGGGAAGCTGCTGCAGCAATTGAGCCTGAAAATCCAGCTGCAAGACTAACTGCTAAAGGATGCAATGGGCCAATATCTTCATCAGAGCTGAAAACCATAAAGGGTATTTCGGTCATTTACAAAAATGACGGAGGATTGGAATTGAATTCCTTAACTTCATGGAAAGAAAGTTGACTCCCTTAACAGAATTCAATTCGATACTCATTTGTAACCAAAAACCAGAATGGAATCAGAATCATACTGAATTCCAATTCCAGCCAAACACCGGAATGGAATCAAAGAACCAATAAACAAAAAAAAAATAATAAGTTTGAACCTTGGAATTGGGTTCATCCCCACAGCTTTCCAATCCAGCATTGCCCGATCTAAAAACTGCCAGGAAGAAAAGAATACACCACCAAAGATGGAATCACGAAATACACCTGATCTAATACCCCTCCACAAAGCACCCCAACCTTCTAAAGATACAACATCTACAGGCTTTGTAACATGATACACAGGTGGGGCCCTTCCAGTCCCAGTCATCATCCACGGGTACTCTTTCAAAGAGCCAGTCAAGTTTGCATGATTAGGGTTCAAGGTGGACAAGAGACCAACAGAATGGTTGAAAGCCTTCATGTCTGGAGAATACCCACGAAGTAATTTTGCAATTGAAGATGAGGCAACGGTTTTTTCTAAGTTTGGAATACGTGAAGCAGTTGTCACTTGTGCACGAATTGTGAAAAGCTCAAATGGAGATGTAATCAGTGATTCCATTGCACCTGATGCAATTCCTGCAAGTAGAGCCTCTGAGACGTATACATAGTTGTCTTTTCGCCCATCTGAATGAAGAAGAAGAAGAAGAAGAAGATGTATACATATAATCAAAATGTGATATGTATAATGTCAAAGAGATGAAGTTATTATTTCTACTAACCAATAAGTATAATGTCAAAGAGATGAACAATCCACCTTTATAGAAAGCGGTTAACAGTTCATAGGTTCCAAAGCGTGCTCCCACTCCCAAGATTCTTCCTAAAGCCAACCAACCAAAACCATTGTACAACCCTGCAATAATGTTGAAGCTTTGAATTCAAGTCTCAAGAACGCTACATTTCTGGAATTTAACTAAGTTCTATGTGTCAATCGTCAAACGTATAGATAATGTACATAGGAAATTAGGAATTACTATCGCTTTTGATGATTGTATAAGTAAAAGCATTTATCGAACTCGGATGATTAAAATAGTTAAGACTCTATACCCTAATTGACAAGCTTTAGACAAAATTACCAGAGTTGCCAGATAATTTGCGAACTCTATCAAACACCTGAGCTGCACTAAGCTGCTTGTCCGGACCTGATCCAACCTGTTGGTAACCTCATTAGGAATGGAACAAAAAATCCAGCGATTCGTTGTCATAATAAGATCAAATAATGATCATGAATCATATATTGGTGCAACGACTGATAAATTAAAGAGAAAGGTGTAAATCGAGAAGGTAAACAACCAAGGATTTATCGATTAAGTTTTAACCCTAACCTGAACAAGGGTTTTGATTGTCTCAAAAGGGTACGTTGCAGCAGTGCCTAATGTTACAGCTCCGGCACCTGCTACTGCGTGGATTGCAAATGTCTGATTCTTTATGAAGTCTTCCATCAGAAACAAGAAAGAAACGTGAGAAGAACAAAGAACAGGAGCGCGCTAATGGAAATGATATGATTTTGACTCTGGAACTTGACTCTGGGCAAAAAGGGTTTAAAGAGGGGTTAATTACATAAAGAGTATATTACTATGAATGATCCTTACGGTTTAGGGTATATATATTTGGTCCTTCAATTTTTTTTTAACGCAAAACATATCTACAATCACCACATAACAACTACAGTTGCCGGAAAAGAAGACGTTTGATCCGGAAAGCTCTCATCCTATGTATAACCACCACATCGCAACCATAGCCTCCAGAAAAAAGGAGTTTGATCGGTTCTCTCTCACATAAAGCTCTCTTCCCACATATAGTCACCCCCATCGTAACCAAGTTGCTAGAAAATAAGGTGTTTGACCTGGTTCCCTTGGTCGGAAAGCATCTCTTCCCTCGTATAACACACCACATCGCAACCACAATTTGTTGGTCTCGTGGTATGTAATCAATTAATACCGACACAAAGAATACTTTGAAACTGACTTTTGTATTGAACATGGCTTAGTAAATACAAGAGAATAGTCATAAATGTATTTTGATTTTTGAACAAACTCTCAACACCATTCACAAAGAAAACTCTGCTACGTTCATTAAAATACATAATAGTGAACCTTAACATTACATAAATACTAGATTAGGTTGTCAAAAAAATCTTTAAGAATCAATGAATCTTCCGTGAGTTGGAACTTATCCCAAATCTTATAAATGAACTCCAAATCAATCCTAACCTCGAGACATTAGGGGTTGATTAGTTTGGGGGTAAATCTTCAAACACCAATTGTCTACTTTCCAAAAATACCCATGTTGACTTGATCACCTTTCGATATATGTTGATTCAATCAACTCGGCTGCCAAAACATTGATCGTCATCAAACCCTTAACACAGTTGCTGGAAAAATAACGCGTTTTATCGATTCTCTTTTATGGAAAGCTCTATTACATTATATAACCACCTCATCGCAACTATAGTTGCAGAAAATGAAGGCAGTGATGGGTTATGAGAATATCTACATTCCTATGTGATCATGCAACCCTAATTGCTTTGAATCTAAGTTTTTCACTAATTGAACATGCATATAGAATACCAAAGCAATAACCCTAGATCTAGCATACAATTTTCGAAATCCATATGAAATTAGGGCTAGAGGATTACATTTACTTGTTATGTAGTAATAACAAGACCAAACTTGAAGATCCTTGACTCTTGAAAGGTTAGTGCCCCAAATGTTGCACATCTAATGGTTCACAAACACCCAATTCAACAAGATGAGAGGAGAGACAAGAAAATTCGGCTAGGGTATCTAATATACAAGCATTCACCGAAAATTCCATGTGGTGGGGCTCTTTATATAATTGTGGGCTGCTAGGGTTTCTGGAGGAAACCCTAATTCCTGCTTAAGGCTTAAGAAACCCATGGACTCTTATTTAGCAAGCATTGGACGAAATCTATCGGACCTCCCTTATAGGATTTCGTCCACTCCTAATTCAGGAGTCTAATAGCCCAGTTTCACAACTATCAATGATTTGCAAAACAGCCCCTCCATTATTAATCAGTTCCTTTAATCCCAAAATAAATCTCAGATTAATTTCTGATTAATCACTAATTAATAATATGATTTCCAAATAATATATTAATATTATAATATATTAATAAAATCATTTTGACTACCAATTTATTATTTCACATAATAAATTATACTCTCTCTCCACTAGTCATCATGTTAAGTTGCGTGAGTGAAGGCGGCCCAAAAGAAGCATGGTATTATCAAATCCAGTACATACCAATTATAGTTATTGGCTTAGACACCTAATCCAATAGTCTTCCACTTGGATAAGTCTAATAACTATGATTGCAAGTATGACTTCAAAATTTGACCAACAATCGTAGCTTTCAAAAGCCATTGTCGAACTCTAATCTAATCAATGACACGTCCTTTAGATAAGGGATCAAATATTCCTCCATTCTACAATATATCGTATGGACATGATACATGGATTATAATCAATCTCTGTCCAAGAGTTGTTTCCCGATTTCCGATTTATGACAACTGACTCAGACTACAGTTGAACACATCAACTTAGTCCAGGCTTAGCCAAGCGCTTTAGATGTCATCACTAAATCATCGAGGGGGCCACAGATATCGCTTTTATCCTATTTAGGGTAAAAGAAACGAATAAACTTCGACTCATATACTTGTACTATTTACTCATCAAATCACACACAACAATACGTTTTATAACATCAAGTTACTTATGCGTTTACGTATTATCAATGCACAATTGACTCGTAAACAACAACTCATATGTCTCCGTTTCAAGAATATAAGATATTATCGTCTCATAATTACTCGTGATAAAATCCATGAAGTAATTCTCTAAGCGCGGGTTTATCCAATACTCAAATTCCTATTTCAGGAGTACTCATGAACATTACAGCAAACATTTTCCATGTTTAAGCTCTTAGACAATCTACAGTCGGATTCATAATAGTCTTAATTCACTACTTACTTCCAAAAGTATGATCGACTGTGGATGTTTGAATAACCTAGTTATTCGGGAAGTAAAACATGCAAAGTGAAACACAAGAATAATCTGATTAACTATGGTCTCAAAACTTTGAATATAAATAAAACACTTATTACTTAATCACCATATTAATTAGACTTTATTCATTGTATAATGTATCGAGTAATCAACTTAATACTTGAATTAAAATAATAGTCATGTCATGCTCCCAGCACGCACACTATGTTTATTTATTGTCCTTCCTTTGTGAAACAGATCAATTGAACACATTTCCAATGATGCTAATTTCACAATTCCAAATCCATATCACAAGTGTAAGAATACCAAATTTTTGCCACTACTAGAATCCGTTAAAGTCTAAACTTACATGCAATAATCCTTTTGTAATGTCAATGCACCAAAGTCACAAAGACTTTGCCAATGATATTACAAAGCATTTCATTGGAGATTGGTTACAAAAACAATTCAATGGAAATGAAGTCTCACATTCAAAGAGCATTCCTTGAACATCCTTCTTGCATTAAAGTTATTAATCTTACACAGATTTCATAAGCCAACTCCCAATATGGAAACATTTCCATATTCCCATATGACTATTAATTCTTAAAAAGGTTACCTCTACTCAAAACATGTCAATATGGTCCTTCCAAAATTATACTATACTTCCAACTGTCCACAAGCAACCAATCTTTGGTAAATCTCATATTGTTCTTGACAGATGTTTAACAACTTTACTCATATCTAGTTCTAGTCCTTTTCCCTCTTAATGCCCTAGGCATTTGGAAAATCAGAACGAGCGAATATTATAACATATGTAGTCAATCCTATATTTGAAACATATGGGATTCGATACATAATGTTGTACATAAAGACATGATACTTGATCAGTCTCTTGGTATAATATTTCCATATATAAAATTTCCCTATGTTGAATCACTTCAACATGATATTCATATATGATCATGACTAAGTTCTATTAGATCCTTCAATCTAAACTTTTAGATTTGAAATGAAGTATAAGTGCTCTCTCCTTCTAACTTTCTATAGCAAAACAACTTCCAAACTTTGCAACTTGCAAATTTGTAACCTTTGTTTCCTACAACTAGCATTGCCTACTTGCAACACTTAGTATAACAAGTATGCTCCCACTAGCATAACAACTATACTCTTAGTAGCATAACAATTATGCTCCCACTAGCTTTGACATGTACCCAGAAATCAGCTGGACTTCTAGAAATCAATACCTATTGACTTTCTTACCAAAGTTTAGATTTCTTGTAACATCCAGATTTCCAAGTATCATATTTTAATTGTTTAATTTAAAGTTATGAGGAGGGACTCGGCAAGTTGACGCTTAGACTCGCCGAGTAGGATCGTGATTACTAACTGGATTAATGAACAGACTCGACGAGTCGATGGGTGGAGTCGACGAGTCCTCGCTGATGTCAGAAACCCTAAATCTCTGGGTATGTGCCCTATTTAAGGGACCTTATAGCCCTCATTTGCGGCTACCAGTCCAGAGAGAGAACCCCTTGAGAGCCTGAGCGAGTTGTGTGAGAGAAAGAGCTTTTTGATCCCTTTTTGTTGTGGTTTTGCAAAGAAGAAGGTGTTTCCAGCAAGAGAAGGTCAAGAGGGTTGCTATTCCGTGGTTTCCAAGCTTAGATCTACTTTGTTGAGGTAGCAAATCGATCCTTTCTCTATTTTGTTTAAGATCCTTAAATTTTAGGGTTTTCTATACCCTTTATTGGCTTGAATTGTTGAGTATGTTGTCCCTTTGAGTGTTAGACCCTGGATCTGGACCTTTAGAGGTCCAGAGGCCTTATCCATTCTGCTTTATGTTGGTTCATGGAGGAAAAGAGACTATGTTGCCATTTTAGAAGCCATTTCACCAAGGAAAGTCTTGTGTGCGTTGCATGAACGTCAAGACTGGACCTTTACGTGATTATTGTGTATGGGAAAGGCAGATCTATAGGTTAGAGAAGCAAATCTGACCTCAGAAGTTCATTTGAGTGTGAACATGGAAGCCGCCCGTCGAGTCCATAAGAGGACTCGACAAGTCGAGTCGGGGTTGCCCGACGATTCGTGACAGGAGTAACATGTCGAGTGAAGGGATGACTCGACGTGTCAAGTGAGACTAGAAGGATTCATAGGACCCGCATGGACTCGCCGAGTCGCCCATGTGCACTCGATGAGTCGAGTTAAAGGTTGATCGTTGCCTTCAGTTGACCTTAGGGTCTTGGTCAGGCTGATTAAAGAGAGTTCATGGAGGGGTAGAATGGCCTTCTACCCAATCTTTAAAGATGAGACTATGAGACGGTATTGATCAGGATTGTTATTCGGATGATAGGAGGAGGCTAGGTTGGGACGTCGAGCACGAGAGTTTATCTGACTTTATTCGAGGTGAGTCTTCTCACTATACATTACCTAGAGTGGTAACTATGTGTGGACCGACGGGTCTTGTGTGCAATGTGTATGTATGAGATTATGTGCATTGTGATATATGTATGCTATGTTTTGTA